GCAAAGGGTGTAGATGTTCCCATGCCTGCATTTACCAGGAAGCCAGAATTGTATCTTCAACCCCATCTTTGATCATTGAGAATCACTGGGAATAGCAAACCTTAGGAATGCCACAAAAAATCTTACAAAGTGTGAGAATTGGAAGAACAGAAATAGACATAGCACAACTATCTCTAGGAAACAGGGAGATGCAATTCAGGAGGGAACTCTGGAGAGATAGTCTGTGTTTATGTGGTTTAATTTTAATACCTCTAGTGATTATTTCCTCCTGTTCCAGTTAAAAAAAGTTTTTAAGTTTAGTTACACATTGGCATACCAATTGCTACCAATAACAGCTTGGTTTTCTAGTGTTTTCTTTAAACCATATTTTCAGGGATTTTTAGATTAAAGGATTCATCATTCAGTAAATACTTACCGCATGTTTTTATTTGTTGGGCACTGTTATGAACATGGGAGAGGTAGCTTAAACAACACAAACAGTGGAGGTGTCTGCCCTCATCGTACTGACATTCTAACTCAAGAGACAGACTATACACAAATAAGAATGGATCAGGTGAAAACAGGCGTCATGGTGAACTAAAGCAGGCGGTTGTGTTAGAGCAGCGGTTCTCAACCTGTGGGTCGCGACCCCTTTGGGGGTCAAACGACCCTTTCACAGGGGTCGCCTAAGACCATCGAAAAACACATATATAATTACATATTGTTTTTGTGATTAATCACTATGCTTTAATTATGTTCAATTTGTAACAATGAAAATACATCCTGCATATCAGGTATTTACATTATGATTCATAACAGTAGCAAAATTATAGTTATGAAGTAGCAACGAAAATAATTTTATGGTTGGGGGTCACCACAACATGAGGAACTGTATTAAAGGGTTGCGGCATTAGGAAGGTTGAGAACCACTGTGTTAGAGAATGAATGGGAGGAGGTGAGAGGCTTCTGAACAGAGACCTGAATGAACAGAGGCAGACATGAAAAGATCTGGCACAGGAGCAGCTGGTGCAAAGTCTCTGAGATTGGAATGAGTTTGGCAAGATGCATAACAGAGACATGGTTCCTGTGCTGATCAAAATCCTCTAGTTTCCTATGGCACTTAGAATAAAACTCAAACTCCTTACAAGCTGGGGTTTGTTAAGACCTTGTTGGCTTGTAAGGAGTTTGAGTTTTATTCTAAGTGCCGTAGGAAACCATTAGAGAATTTTAATCAGGGAAGTGACAAAATCTGATTTGGAAATGACCAGCAAATACTGTTTAAGATTACTCAAAATGATACTTATATTTAATCAATATCATTTCATTTTTCTCATGTTTTAGGACAAAGGAAGGGAATTAATATTTATTCAGAACCTTTTACGTACTATATATTGCTTTGGACACTTTCCTTATGTTTCATATAACTTTTAGAACAATCCTAGAGGTAATTATTCTTACTATCTCTTCATCCTGATGATAAAACAGAGGTTTGGAGAGATTAGGTAACTTGCCCAAAGTCACATGAGTAGAGCAAAGCCAGAAATCAACTCCTTACCAAAAGCGTGCGCTATTTCCATTATGCTGCATTGTCTTAGCACTTTGGTGTTTAGTATAGCGTCTTGAACATAAAAAAATATTCAATACACTTTTGTTAAATGTATGAAAACATTTCCATTAAAAAAATTCTGTCTTTATAACACCAAATCCCAAAATGAGGGCCTAGCAGTGGTCGGCAAATTGCGGCTCGCGAGCCACATGCGGCTCTTTGGCCCCTTGAGTGTGGCTCCTCCACAAAATACTGACTTCTGCGCATGGGCCACGAAGTTTCAATCGCACTGTACATGTGCGCCCGCACGTGGTATTTTGTGTAAGAGCCACACTCAAGGGGCCAAAGAGCCGCAGTTTGCGGACCACTGGCCTAGGGCAAGAGGTAAAGAAAAATAATAGTCTTATTCCTACTTTAATATGAGTCTGAACACTTTTAGAAAGTATCTGAAAGATATCAGGACTTGGGTTTGAATTAGAACCTAGGTCAGGGTTCAGTCATGGGAAACAAAAACCACTTAGCTTTCTTAAGCAGAAAGACATTTAACACAGGACCTTGGGCACAGTCACAATTCTTGAAGAGTAAAACTGACCTCTTGAGGATGGTGATTGAAGGATGGGGAGTCACAGGGCCTGAGTTATCTGATCAGATCGAGGAGAGTGACAGCCCGATGGGGGATGAGGTGGTTCCCAATTTCAGAGCCCCCTCGCAGAAAGAGCAACCCACAACTGTTCACAGACCAGACGCCTCTGTGAGGATCTCAAAATTGTTGGGAAGGCTGGAAAAGGGGGTCCTCCGCTGGGACTCCGGATGGCTTCAGGAATGAATCGCTTATCTGACCTGCCAGAGAAGCCCCTCTGTCTCCTGCCAGCCTCAGGAACAGGGTGTGCAGCAGGAGTTTACGGATTGGACTCTTGGCTTCAAGAACACAACCCCCTTTGCTGCAAAGAGAGTCAGGAATGCTGTACTGCCATCACCGCCGGCCCCTGGCACCTGAAACCGCTGCTAGAGGCTCCTGCCACCACACACCTATTGGCCAACAGCAACAGCAGAAGCAGCAGGGAAAACAGTCCCTCCCTCACATCCTTCTTCCAAACCTCCTACACAGGCGTATAATTGGAAGACTGATTTGCAAACCAAACCCTGGGTGCAAGGAACCTGGGATATGTAGTTTTTAGCTTTCCAGCCTCTACACAATAGAAGGAAAGTGGAGTGGATGATGGGTGCCAATTTCTCATATCCACATGGTCTTCCCCTTCTGACCCAAGTGCAATGTCCGCCCCTTAGGAAAGCAGATTTGAGACTGAGAAATGCAGCCAATGAGGTGGGGTTTTTAGTTGTCACTAAAATCACTCAGATATAGCTACCCTGTGAGTGATGAAGGGCTGCACTCTTGGCTTCCTGTGTGAGAAGCTCCTTGGGCCTGTGTTTGTCCCATGATGTTTCTGTCCTCAAAGAGGAAAGAACTGAGGACGTAAAATATGCCCTGGGAGGTCCTCAGAAGAACACAGTGTGATTTCAGCTCACATGGTTTCTTGCCATTCTTGCCAAGTGTTTAACCAAGCTCACAAGCATCTGTGGAAGGTAGGCTTTTATGCAGCCTGAGATTTCAGTCTTGGTGGGCCTGTCACCAGCCACCAGCTTTGAGAGAATGCAGGATGCCTCCGGGGCCTTTCCTGTTCTCATCTTATTTACATGAGAAGTTTATTTGCAGAGTTGACCTGACATGAAACTTAGATTAGCCATTGCAGCTTGTGGGTCATAATGCATTCATAACAAGTTTGAGCTGAGAAAATTGAGAGCATTCCATGCCAGTTGAGGACACAACCCTTCTCCTTTAATCCTCGCAGGAACACTGGCTGGACTCCAGGCTTTAAACATGGATGTTTATTAATTTGATTGTTATTCAGCAGATATATATATCAGGTATGTGAACATCACCAATCTTGAATACGGATGAGTGCCAGAGGGTCTCTAAGTCACAGATTCCTCATCTGTAACATGGGATTAAAAATAGTCACATCAACCCTGCTGGTGTGGCTCAGTGACTGAGTGCTGACCCGTGAACCAGGAGGTCACTGTTCTATTCCTGGTAAAGGCACATGCCCGGGTTGCGGGCTTAATCCCCAGTAGGGAGCATGCAGGCGGCAGCCGATCCATAATTCTATTTCATCATTGATGTTTCTATCTCTCTCTTCCTCTCTCTGAAATCAACTTCCTATCACAGGAAGTTGAGAGATTGCATGAAAAAGAGCATGTATTAAAGCACTTAGCACATTTCCTGGCATATATTTAGCACTCAATAAATGGAAGCCTTGACCCTTACCCACATGATTTTCCTATTGATAGATTCGGTGGTGGGCATATCTGTGCGGCCACCAAATATACCGCCTCAGCCTGTGCCTGCACTTTTCTGCCCATTTCTTTAGAGGAACTGAGGCAATTTCACAATGCAATCAATAATGATGTATGTTCATGCCACCGGGAGGAGAGAAATCATTTTAGTGTAATTAGTTTTAGAAGGCATGAAATACATGTGATTGTTCAGATCAAGAAACTGGTATTTACACGAATGCTTTTAGATGTATGGGAGATTTACTAGTGTGGAAGAACCCCTCTGTGACAATAACTGATAATGTCTTTTCTTTCTTGTCTTCAGTCTAAGATTATTCCTTAGAGACAGCATGGCAGAGTCTGCAATGGCCCAAAGGGACACCCCTAAGCTGGGAGTAAGAAAATGTTTCCAACATTTGTGTGAAGTTTAACTGTGTAACCTTCACACAATTACTGAACATCTGTAAACTTCAGTTTATTCATCTGGAAATACCCATCTTACCTGTTTCCAAGAATCTGTTGTGTGTCACTATCACCTAATGTCCCTGCTCTCTAGAATTAATCTGCTCTGAAACTTTATCTGGGCCTGTTTCCCCAAGAACATCCCCATTCTTCAGACCAGACTTAAACCTTGTTCCAATCCCACAGGGTCTTGCTGTGAAATAAAGTGAATCATAAAACATGTGGGAAATTTCTTGGCTTGTTACAGCATCCCTCCCAAAATAACAGATCTAAACCCACCCAGAAAACTAAATGATAATGAAACTTCAAGAAAATTTAAGTCAAAGGGTCTTTGCGGGGGGGGGGGGGAGCTTTATTAGTTTTCTAGAGCTGCCATAACAAAGGACCACAAACCACCCGGCCTGTGTGGCTCAATGGTTGAGCGCTGACCCATAAACCAGGAGGTCATGATTCAGTTCCCTGTCAGGGCACATGCCTAGGTTATGGGCTCGATCCCCAGTGTGGGGTGTGCAGGAAGCAACCAATCAATGATTCTCTCTCATCGTCGATGTTTCTCTCTCTCTCCCCTCCTCTCTGAAATCAATAAAAACATATCTTAAAAAAAAAAAAGAACAAAGTACCACAAACCAAGTAGCTTAAAACAACAGATATTTATTCTCTTACAGATCTGGAGGCTAGGAGTCTGAAATCAAGGTGTAGGCAGACCCATGCTCTCTCTGAAAGCTCCAGGGTAGAACATTTTCTTGCCCCTTCTCAGATGCTGATGGCCCCTGGCAATTGCCTGCATGTGGCAATCACTCCAATCTCCACAGTTGAATCCATATGGGCTTCTTCTCTGTGTGTCCTCTCTCCTTTCTCATGAGAATACCAGTCATTGGATTTAGGGCTCACCCTGATCCAGTATGACCTCATCTTAACTACATCTGCAAGATCCTATTTCCAAATAAGGTCACATTCTGAGTAGACACAGATTTTGGGGAGACACTATTCATACCATATAGGAACCCTTTAAATTGTGCAGTATGTGGGGAGAGCTATGGTTTTGTTTGTTTTTGTAAAATAAACCCATGGTACATGTCACTTACTATCTCTCCATCCCGTTCTCACTGCCTAACTCAATCCTGTTCAAAATTTTTTTTAAAAAAAATAATCTTTATTGTTGAAAGTATTATATATGTCCCCTTCTAGCCTGCCCCAACCCCTATACAAAATTCTTTGTTCCTGTATTGGCTCTCTACCTGACCATAAATCTGGGTATGCCCTTGGGCTCATTCAGTGCCCTCACTGTTACCTCCAAACTGCCATTTCAACCAGCCCTTCTCTCTCTTAAGTCCCAGTTGAATCTCTCCTCATGTCTTGGTCTCCAGCAGCAAGACATGGTCTTCCTATCTCCATATTTCTTCCAAATCTGGTCAACTCACATCCCTGCTGACAATCCTTCAGGGACACCATCTATTATCTCTGTGGACTTCCAGCTCATCCCCTCTCTCACATCCTCACTCCAACCACACCAAATATATTATGGTCCCCTGAGCCCACCATGCTCTTCTTCACCTCCTCTCTCTGGCACGATATGCACCATTACGCCTATCTGGTTTACATTCTGGTCACCCTTGCAGACTTACGTCAAGCCCATTTTCATTTTTGAAGCCATCTCTGATAACTCCACGCTGGGTTAGGCATATTCTTCTTCTGTACACATCATATCCTCCTCATCCTTGATTTTTTTTGTCTGTCTCTCATATTAGGTTCCTTCCTGGTATGTACCTTTCTTCTCCATATTCCAGCACAATGCCAGGCCAATAGTAGGTGTAGTAAATATTTGTTCAGTAAGTAAGCAGAGTTTAAGACTAGTAATTATCCATACTGGGGCCAATATGTGGCTCTTAGAGATTTCTGATTTCTATACTATAATATTGAGCATGTGATTCTTCAGGGCACACTGTAGTTACATTATCCCTTTGATGATGATTACATATGTGGCTACAGAAGCATAAGAATTGCTCAAAATATTTTTATTTCTATGACTATATATTTCTAACTATGGGAAAAACTATTTTGGCAGGTTAACTTTCCTGAGGAGGGAAATCTGGAACCAGAGCATTTTAACAATGGGAGACATCTAGAAAGTATCTCCAGATGAGCAGAGGTATTGTTCAGAAACATGTCATGTGCTTCTCAGGAATTGCCTCAAAATACTAGATTTGATTGTTTCCTGCACTGCCCTCTTGAAGTTCCAGACATATTTGCAAGCTTGGTCACTCTCGTTTCTTTTCATTGAGGCATAGCTGAAATAACATGATAGTCATTTCAAGTATACAACATAATGATTCAGTATTTGTACATACGTACAGTGGGGCCTTGACTTGCGAGTGTCCCGAATAACGAGTTTTTCGAGATACGAGCCATCTCTTGGCCGATTTTTTGCTTTGAGTTGCGAGCTAAAATTCAGGTTACGAGCCAGCATCAGATACCCCACCGCTAGTTGGTGCAGCGAACGTCACAGTGAACGCCACAACATCAGCACAGCATCTCATGTCTTGTTCACTTTATGATTTGACATATGAGTAATTTGAGTTATGAGCTCCATCATGGAACGAATTAAACTCGTAAGTCAAGGCCCCACTGTATTTCAAAATACAATAAGTCCAGTTAACATCCATGCACAGTTATAAATTTTTTTCTTATGATGACAACTTTCAAGATCCACTTTCCTAGCTACTTTCAAATATGCAATATAGTATTGTTAACTATAGTCACCATACTGTATATTACACCTCCACAATTTAGTCATTGCAACCACCAATCTGTTCTCTACGTCCATGCCCTTGTGTTTTCAGGGTTTTTTTTAGATTCTACATATCAGTAAAATCATACATTATTTATCTTCTGTCTGACTTATTTCACTTAATATAATGCCTTCAAGGTCCATCGTGTTGTTGCAAATGGCTCACTTTCTTTCTGGGAGCCTGAGCAGACTCTGGAGGGGGTGTGTGACTAAATGTTAGCAGTGTGCAGCATGGTATAGCAGCTCTATACCAAGGTTTCCCATGTGGAGTTGCTCCATGCATTGGGTGCATTGGCGCTTTCATTCACTGACTCTACCGTGGCACTTACACAAGACTAGTCACTTTCCTGATCAGTCCAGAACTTTGCTAATCTGTAAATGCCAACACAAAATGCTTACTTAATGTTGAAAGTGATGATTCTGGTGGTGAGGATGCTTGTCCTGATGTTGAAGATGCCAGTGATTCCCTTTTTATGTCATCCTATCTAATAAAAGAGAAACATGGTAATTAGCCGTACCTCTGCTACCCTTCCCATTGGCTGATCAGGGTGATATGCAAATTAACTGCCAGCCAAGATGGTGGCTGGCAGCCAGGCAGCTTGAAGCGAACATGAGACTTGCTTGCTTCAGTGACGGAGGACTGCAACGTTCCCTGCCTGCCGCTGCCGGCCTCTGAGCTTGCAGTTTGAAACATTGTTACAAATATAGAAGCTAAACAAAACCCCAGAAACCTGCTTTCAGCCAGCTGGGATCTCAGAGCTGGAGTTGAAACAGTGTTTTGATTATAGAACCCAAACAAACCAGATACCTGCTTTCAGCAGTGGAGGCCTAAGAGCTGGAGCCAAGCCTCAGAACTAAAGCTGACCCAGAATAAAAAAGAAAAAAAGAAAAAAAGGAGCAGTTGGGAGCTTCAGTCACCCACCAGCCTGAAAACAGCCCTCAGCCCCTCACCCAGACTGGCCAGGCACCCCAGTGGGAACCCCCACCCTGAAGGGTGTGTGACCAGATGCAAACAGCCATCATCCCCTCATCCAGGCTGGCCAGGCACCCCAGTGGGGACCCCCACCCTGATCCAGTACACCCTTCAGGGCAAACCAGCCAGCCCCCACCCATGCACCAGGCCTCTATCCTATATAGTAAAAGGGTAATATGCCTCCCAGCACTGGGATCAGTGGAGCTGAGAGGCCTCCTGGCACTGGGATCAGCGTGACAGGGGGCAGCGCCCAAACCCCCTGATTGCCCTGCAGCTCTGTGTGTGACGGGGGCAGGGTCACAACCTCCCTATCCGCCCTACTCTGTTCGTGGCAGGGGAAGGCGCCCCAACCCCCTGATCAGCCCTGCTCTGTGCCTGATAGGGGGGAGCTCCCCAACCCCCTGATCACCCTGCGGCTCTGTGTGTGACAGGGTGCGGTGCCCCAACCCCCTGATCGGCCCTGCTCTGTGTGTGACAGGGTGCGGCGCCCCAATCCCCCCCCCCCACGGGCCCTGCTCTGTGTGTGACGGGGTAGAGCCATAACCTCCCCATCAGCCCTACCCTGAGTGTGACAGTGGCAGCGCCCCAACCCCCTGATCGGCCCTGCTCTGTGGGTGATAGAGGGCAGCGCCCCAATTCCCCTATCAGCCCTACTCTGTGAGTGACAGGGGGGAGCTCCCCAACCCCCTGATTGGCCCTGCTCTGTGTGTGACAGGGGGTGGCGCCGCAACCTCCCCATCAACCCTGCCTTGAGTGTGACAGGGGGTGGTGCCCCAACCCCCTAATCGGCCCTACCCTGAGCGTGACTGAGGGTGGCATCACAACCTCCCGATCTTCCCTGCTCTGTGCATGACAGGGGGAGGCGCCCCAACTCCCCAATCAGCCCTGCTCTGAGCCTGACCAGGGGCTGCACCTAGGGATTGGGCCTGCCCTCTGTCACCCGGGAGCAGGCCTAAGCCAGCAGGTCATTATCTCCCAAGGGGTCCCAGACTGCGAGAGGGCACAGGCAGGGCTGAGGGACCCCCCTCCCCCCCGAGTGCACAAATTTTTGTGCACCGGGCCTCTAGTTTAATATATATTTATCTTAGCCCCAAATCTCTGACCTTGTAGCCTTTAAAAAGTAGGTTATAATGCTACAGGTTGACATGGAAAGATGTCCTAGGTACAGTATTAAGTGAAAAAAATTAGGTTTCAGAATATTATGTATATACTAGAGGCCTGGTGCACGGATTCATACACTGGTGGCGTCCCTCAGCCTGGCCTGCTGGTATCAGGTTGAAACTGGCTCTCCAACATCTCCCAAGGGGTCTTGGATTGTGAGAGGGTGCAGGCCAGGCCAAGGGACCCCACCGGTGCACAAATCTGTGCACTGGGCCTCTAGTATGCATATAAGACCTTTGGTTAATCTCTTCCTGCCCTCTCCCCTCCTCCCTTTCCTCTGAGATTCATCAGTTTGTTCCATGTTTCTGTGCATTGAGGATCTGCCCCCTGGTGGTCAGTGTGCATCATAGCTACCGGTCGAACGATCAAACGGTCGAATGGTCGGACACTTAGCATATTAGCCTTTTATATATATAGATAGTACAAACCCATTTTTATTTTTTATTTAAATACTGGTATAATTTTTTCCTGAACCAGTAGCATCAGCGTTACACAGGAACTTGTTAGAGATGCAAATTCTCAGGTCACACCCCTGACCTACTGAACCAGAAACTCTGGGTGTAGCTATGACGTGCACTGACCACCAGGGCCAGCAGCAGGACCTGCAGATGAGATGATGCATTCTCACCTAGAGGAACCACTGCTCTAGTGTGTTGTCCTGGGATGTTTTGCTACAGTACTAGTATATAGTGCCCTTGGGTATAGTATGGGTTTGTAACGTCTTTATAACTTAGACATCATTCTAGTAAATGAATTACTTATGTTTTGTAAAGGATTTCGATTACCTTGTTTCTGATTCATTGTATTCATGTATGCCTTTCCTTGACAAAATCATTAAAATAAATAGCCAAAAAGTTATGTGTATACAATAATGCTGGCGACTATACAGAAAAAAAAAATCTCTGGGGCACTATAAATTTAGCTAGTGCTTTTCAAACTTTGATTCAGACTTTAATACAGATTACTTGGGAGCCTTGTTAAAATGCAAGACTGGATTGAGGCCTGAGGTTCTGAATTTCTAACCAGCTTCAGGCCAAGCCTGCTGGTCAGTTATTTCTGGAAGGTGAAAAGGTGGGGGATTTTCACTTTGTGCATTTCACCTTGGTGTGTTATTTGAATTATTTTTTTTAACAAAAGCTGTAGTTGGAGAGAAAATTTAAAAATATGTTATTAGAATTTGCCTTACTTCTACATTTCTTTGCTATGCGGGCTTAGCCTTTAAATTTTATTTTTCTAAGAGTGCATCTAGAAGAAACTGATCAGTTGGCCCTGTGCATTCCCATGCTCTCCAGCTCGTTGCAGACATGAATGCTAAAAAGCAGGAGTGTTAGGTGTAGAGGACAGTTGGAAGGGATTCATATGAGCTGGAACTTTTTCAGTGGAGAGCATCAGAAAGCTAATTGAAACAGGCTTAAGGGGCCAAAGGAAATGTTTTTAAAAATCCAAGGGACATGCTGATTTCAGCTCTGGGTGAATCCAAGTCTTCAAATGACACTTTAGGAACTGGTTTCTTGCCATCTCTGGTTGCTTCCCTTGGCAATGGCTTTATCTGCAGGCAGTCCCTCTCTCCCGAGAATGGCCACAGAAGCACGAGGCTCTGTCCTATTAGATCAGAACGCCTTGTTCCAGCAAATGTCTCAGGGACTCCTGTTGGCAGAAACCAATCTCTGAATCTGTCAGTCACTTCCTTTGGCTGGACTTGGCCACATATGCACTTCTGAAGAAGGCTGGGGGTGGTGTCAACCCCATCCCAATGAGCTGGAAGGAAGGGTTGACTCGCCACAAGAGAACCAAATGGTTGGTACAAGAACAAGGCAGATGAGATGTGAAAGTGAGAAACGGTGTTCTATTATGTAAAGCTCTTCCAGCTCGATGTTCTCATTCTACTTATTTGGAAACCAGGTGAAGTGATTTATCTGAGGTCACAATAGTAAACAGCAGAGCCCAGGTTTCCTGATTTCTGTTCTCTTGATCTATCCCAGCCGTGGGCAAACTACAGCCCGTTTGAAATGAATAAAACTAAAAAAAAAAAAAAAAAAAAAAGACCGTACCCTTTTATGTAATGATGTTTACTTTGAATTTATATTAGTTCACACAAACACTCCATCCATGCTTTTGTTCCGGCCCTCCGGTCCAGTTTAAGAACCCATTGTGGCCCTCGAGTCAAAAAGTTTGCCCACCCCTGGTCTATCCTCTCTACTGCGTTACCTCCACTTTCTTGGAAACCAGCAATAAATCAAACACGAAGCCTCTATAACATGCTTATCATGGAATGTCTTCTTAAACACCGTCTTTCCTGATATTAAAGGTGAAGGAACTATAATTGCACATCTATCATCTTTGACTCTCCTACGTTGACTGCCCAGAGTAAGAAAACCACATTCCTTCTGCAGTAGTAATTCTTGCTGCTCCTCTCCTTTTTGGGGAAACAAGTTGAAGCTTAACTAAGTGTAGCTGCTGATCTACTTGGAAGAAGTTCAAGCCTTACCCTGGTGATCCCATGAGTGAGATGATGCCCGATGAACGGAGTGGCCCACACCAGCCTCTGATCTTCTTCTGTGGCACATGTTATCCCAGGACCTTGATTAATAGCCTAGACTAGGTCCTCCCTTTGGGCGGGCTTGTTGCCCTCCCAATTTTCCCAGGCGTAGCAATATCCCTGTGGACAGGTACAGGCATGCATCAGAAATCTGGAGGCTTGCCCAAAAAGTATGTCTGCTGTTTTTGAAGGGGCAAGTAGTAATTACCAGTGAGTAATGCAGTGGCAGGCCTTCTGTGAGAAATTGAAGCTGAAAAGAGGGCTTTCCTCTCCTTGAAAAAAGGGTATTGGATGAACTAAGTCTCGCCTTGGGAACTCTTTCTTCTGTTTCACCCCTAGCCTCCCCAGACACCCTGGCACTCACCAAGCCATGGGAATGAGAAAGCATTGGCTGGGAGTAGACAGTCTGCTTGCTCACAGCAATTGAAAGTTTTCTCTCGGTGTTCTAGTTCCAGGGGAGGGAACTGAAGATTAAATCCTGAAGTCTGCCCCATTCGGAGAGGAGCAGCCTGGCTCCTGGTTGGTTGCAGCATCAGGTAGGAAAAGAATGACTGTTCTTCCTTTTGTTTTTCACAACATATCATTTAAAGGCAAATCTCATGTTTAATATCAGTATATTGGGCACCGTAGAATTACAAAATGATTTAAATAGTGTGATTTCTGTCCATAAATCACTCAAGACTAATGAGAGAATTGGTTCTACCGTGATTTTGAGGAGGAGCATGCCTTGTGTTGTCCAGTATAATAGCCACTGTAGTCAGTACCAGGAAGAAACTCAAGTCCTGATGAATTAGACAGCGTCTGTGTTCTCTGGATCTTCACTTGTAGTGTGCATGTTTACACATGTGTGTGTCCCTTACTCCAGACGCACAATCACCTTTGTTAAGAACTCAGAAACACAGAAACACAGAGACCAGAATACAGGCCCCTTTGATACGTTGTTTGATTCACTTTTTCAAGAGCCCATCAACTGACTTCTTATAAGACACCACAGGAGACACACAATGCAATATACAGATGATGTATTACAGAATTGTTCACCTTAAACCTATATAATTTTATTAACCAATGTCACCCTAATATATTAAAAAAGATACTAAAAGTTTTTAAAAAGTAAGTTATTAGAAGTCTGAAAAATATTGAGTGGATGTCAGCTAAATCTCAGTTACACATTCAGTGTCTGGGTTGAGCAAAAGTGCACTTTTATGTATTTGGGGGTCATGCACTTCTTTATAAGGGATATCATTTATTAAAATGACACAAGAGACCAGAAAATGAATAGGATGAGCTGTTAGAGTTTGTCATAACCAGATCCCAAGTGTTATAAGAGTAAAATATGTTGCATGTGTAATAGAAGGAAGTAATAAAGGGAATATAGAAAAGAACAAAATGAGTTTATGAAAAATTTATGTCTACTTTCTAAGGCAAACTAAGTTTGTGAACCAGAGAATCAAATCTCAGAGAAAATATTTATAAAGTGTGCCATTATATCACTTTTTTAAATGACCAAAAAGTGAAGTTGTCTATTGTTTGCCAGTGTGTGTGTGTGTGTGTGTGTGTGTGTGTGTGTGTGTGTGAGTGAGAGAGAGAGAGAGAGAGAGAGAGAGAGAGAGAGAGAAGTCTCCTCTGTCTGCCAGCCATTGTGCTAGGCCCTGGACCATGCTGAATTTCTTATTAGTGTCCCCAACAAAAAGACAAACACAGAATGTTAGTGCAATTACTATAATGAGATTCCTAAGGTGGCCTGGCTACCGAAATCGCTTGCGTGCCAGCCTGCTAGAAAAATATATATTGTCTTCTCGTTGGAAATGACATCCTGTTGAAAATAAACAGTACCTCCCAATCTTCCTTAATAATCCAGTTCTCTGCGGCTAAGGAATAGTCAAGCACTGCTGTTAGGTTTGGGTCATGTCTGTGAGTCTTGAGCATCCGTGAGGGTGAGGCCTTGGTCCCCATCGGAAGCTTGGCCTGGAGTGGGCAGGCTCTGAGGCAGGGGCAATGCCCTCTCTGCTGGCTATCTCCCTGAAACCCTGCACCAGTGAGTGAGGGTTGGGGTGGGGATGGAGGGACCCTCTCCCCTTTGGAGAACTCTTCTCTAGATGTCTCCCAGGGGACCTTCTTCTTCATTTTGTGTCAGGTGTGAATGGGCCATCCACAAACATGATTAAATCTCCCTGCCCTCAGAGGCTGGGTCCTAACTGATTTGAGGCAGAGCAGAGGCAAAATGAATCCATACAAATGTCACCTCATTACCAGCACCTGCTCTTCCTTTTCACTTCCTCCCTACAGCTGCTGCTTCTCTTGTTGCTCTAAATCACACCATTCCCCACTCTAGAACAACCTCTGAGTTTGCCATGGATGGTCTCTTAGCTCTGCATGTCTCCCCGATGGGAGGATGAAATATACAACACCACCACCTCCAAAATAATAATAGCCCCTAACATTTGTGACAGCTGGCTATATGCCAGGCACTGTACTAAAGGCTCTACATACATGATCTCATTTATTCCTTATAAACACCTGTAGGGCGGGACTAGTATTCCCGTTATATAGACAAAGAAACTGAGGCTTAGCCATTGACCTGCTGCTAATGATCTACATCTAAGTGCCTGACTCCAAAGCATTCAACCACAGCCTGTGATGGGAGTGGCAGTCAAGTTCCCTGTGAACACTGGGCAAGAGGAGACAGTGGGACCTGTGAGGAGGGCGCTTAGGCAGATGCTCTCTGGCTCGCTCAGCTTTCTCTGCTGCTTCTGGGAAGGTCTGCTGGAGACCACCAGGGAGACCAAAGGGCTGGCTGTGCTGCCTGGGCTTCTCTCTCTAAGTGGCCTGTCATACCTCCTTTTGAGGTCTGGCAGCCGACATTTATGACATTTATCTTTGTTTACAAACAAGGGCCATGCAGCCTGTTCTTTTCCTGCTGTTTGGGGCTGACTTTAAACTCTAAAAGAGCATATGTTCTCCTTCCACCGAGCCGGTGTTTTAGACTCCAGCCTTAAGAGGAGATGAAGGAGCATCCATAACCTGTTCTTTGCCTTTCCTTCACTTTCAGCTAATCTGTGCCCCAGCTGACCAGGAACCACGAGTTCCTTTTGGAATGATTTCTATTTCACCCATCACCACTCCTTGCACCTGTTTGAAACCACTCTGAGGAAGAGTTTAGAAAGTCTCCAGGCTGTTTACCCTTGGGCTCCACAATTTACAAGTCATGCCATAGGCTCATTTCCTAGGTCTTGAACCATCGGCAAACTCTTCTGTAATGTGCTTTGTCTCACAAGACCAGGGAAGGGCTCATATCAGCCCCCACACCAAGACCACTGGAGGGTCCTTTGTTAATTTGAGCAGCACATCAAAACCCCAGCCCCTTAGGCTTCTTAGAAGCTATTTTTATTGTGTGACTTGGCAACAAAAAGACAAACACAGAACAAATTAGTGAAGTATCACCTTTGAAGTTTGGCTTCCATTTGCTTATTTCCAATTTTGAAAGAGTTCTCTTGTGTTGCATATTATTTGAAGAGAATGAGTTGGAGGTTTGAGGCAGCTAAAGGAAGGGGACTAGTATTAATGGAGCACCTACAATGTGCTGGGTACTCTACTAGCCTTTTTACATAGATACTATCTTTAATCCTGACAGAATTTAGGAGGGCAGAAAGGCCCACTTACAGTTGAAGAAGCAGGGGTATAACTACATAGTGTGGTGAAGGTGGAATACAAACATGGGACAGAATTCAGAGCGTAGGTTGCTTCCCTTATTCCATGCTTCCCCCACTATGTCACCTTAGTTATGAAACTCTTCCCAGTGGACAGTGTCCTCAGATGGTTCATCTCATAATCCTGGGATTAGGTGTGTGACACCTACTTGGTAGACAAAAGACTCCCAGGGTGTTGCTTGGATTAATGAAATCATATCTTGGTAAGATTTGCTAGCTTCCTACTCATCTCAAAGACAGTAGACTTCTTGGAGAAGTGATGTTTATGTGAAAAAAGTTAACCCCCCCAAATCCTAATGCCTAATAGAGAGTAATTCATTTATCACTTTTGATTTTTCAAACCTTGATGTTACAGTGTGTTTATTTACATACAAATGCCCTTCTTTATGCTTCCCATATGATTTTATTTTATAGACACAGGTCTGTGACAATGAAATGACATACTTGTCAATTATACTGATACAGTGTTCAGTCCTGTTACTCAGGAGAATTCCTTATTATTGCGCATTTGAGTTGGTTCAAAGAATACAACTTCATTTTTTTTCTTTTTGAGGGAATGGTCTCCAAAGAGGAAATCAAATCAAATAGTATGACAAATTGTATAGCCCTTATAAGAAATTTTCAGATTGTTTTCCTCAGAAACCTCACATTGTCCTCAGCGACAAACACAAGGGCTTGTTTCCCTATAATTCCAGGTTGGCCTGTTCTTTACTGAGCTGAATTCATTTATAGTTCTCCTTTCCAAAAGTTTTTGGGGTACTCATCTTAGTGTGTCTCCTCCCACATCCTATCAGTGTTGGTCTATATCCAGCAGAATACAAGAGAAGTGATGGTATGTTGCTTCTGATATTAGATTATAAAAGATGTTGTGGTTTCCATTTTGTTCACTTTCTCCCTCTCCTGGATCATGTTCTCTGGGTGAAACCTGCTGCCATGTTGGGAGTGACACTCTGGAGAGACCTGTAATGAAGAATGTGGTGGGAACAACTTTCCAACTGCAAAGAATCCCAAGTCACACTTCTGCCAGGAAACCTGTCCCATCTGCTCAATTCTCATTCCCTATTAGACCTTGGATAGAAACCAGTTATCTCCAGAACAAACCACTCAAAAACTAGTGGCTGAAAACAATAATGATTTATTTATCACAGTTCTTTGGGCTGAGTAGTTTTTATTCTAGTTTTTCTTGGGCCTACTCGTGTGACTGCAGCCAGCTGCAGATTTAAGAGGGTGACTCTCTCATGTGGGACCTCATATAGGAATAGATGGAACAGCTGGGATAGCTGAGACTCTCCATATGGCCATTCTATGCTGCCATTCTATTGGACA